CAGAGGGATATTCATTTCTGTCATCTTTTTTATTTCCTTTTTTTTTTTTTTCCCCCCCCTTCTTTCTTTTTCAGAACCTGAGAAGACCGATACCAACTGCTGCAGTCAGGCTTCGTGACAAGAAGTTGCTTTTCGGAGGAAGGAGCTGCAGTGCTCTGCTGGCCTGTCAGCAGATTTCTGACAACTCCAGACCCCGTTTGCCCTCGCAGCTGGGATTTTGCCATCCCAAACCAGATATCTGCCGTTTCCCGCATTGATACAAGGCGGCGTGTGAATTGCAACTGCCAGCTACGTTGCTCAAGGGCGAGGAATCTCTCTTCCCCCTACCCCACCCCCCTTCCTGTATAGCTGGACGTTAGAGCAAACACGCTGAGATGTCTAAAAAGCAAAATACAAAAGGTAAGATGCATGTGAATGTGATACAATCAACTGCCAATAAACACCACTATCGATTCCAAAGTTACCGGTTAGGAAAGGGGTTAACTGCTTTACGCTGTACTCCTTTCAAGGCTGCTGATGTCACTTGACAGCTTATTGTCACTGTCTTAGTGACATCGTATAACCTGTTGGGTTTTGTGACATTTTTAGTAGCATTTCAGTTGTCCAGCTGGACAGTTGTGACTTCACGAGTTCCTGTATAACATTAATATTGCATCACTTTCACAGTCAGACAACAGGAGAAAAAAATACTGTTTAGCAGTTGAAGAGTTACGGAGCCAAACTCTTTTATTTTACTGGGGTCCCCAGTCGGTTCACAACTTCCCCTCTCTGGGTACGGCCAGGATGAATTTTGGTGGTGTCTGGGTCTCTGATGGAATTAACTCTACCAAAACTTAGTCTTGCTCCCGAGGCAGCCCTCGTCCACCCTCTCGGAGTGCCCCGTGGACGCCGGGGTTTCGGGGCAGGCTTCTGTTTGTGCTGTCTGTGGCAGCTGCTTGCCGGGAATCCCGTTAGGAAACAAGCCATCGAATCGAGGTGGGATAGCTCAGCTCAGGTCCTCGCCTCCGGGGGATGCGATTCAAACTAGACCTATGTAAATCTTTTTCCTTCGAGATAGGTACAGAAGGGTAACGAGCAAGTTTGCGAGAAGCTTTGTCTTCAAATACACAGGCTGGTTTCCCTTTTTCTGCCGTCGTGTGTTAAGCGGCAAAGCTGTTCTGGCGTCAAGCAGCTTATTTCAGTGAGGGATCTTATTTGTCGCGTGTGAAACATTAATTCCAAAGTGTGCGTGTGGTGGGGGGAGAGGGGGGTTGAGGGTTACGGTTCTCTCTTTATTTGAACTGACTACTAATTAATAATTTAAGGCGAATGGGTTTGACAATTCATGTCCTCTACCTCAAGAGAAGAGCTTTTGTTCTCTGCAGATTTTTTCTTTACTAGCAGCTTTGGCATAGAAACAGTGTCTACCTGAGGAGCCCAGCCGTCCTTTGACAGCTAGAGCCATACATGATTCAAAGCAATTAGTAACAGTTATGGAAATTATCGTATAGGATAATTTTTGAGTGATTTTTAAAACGCTGTATTTGTATCTGTGCTCTTGGAAGCCTCAGTACGAGTCATTAAGAAATTGACTTCTCTCTGGTGCTGGAAACGGAGCCCAGCAATTGTTGTTGCTGAGTACATGTGGAGAGAAAAACACCTTGAAACAGCAGAAGAGAATTAACGGGTCTAAGTAGGGGAACAGCGAGAGAAACCTGTAGGAGACAACTGGGGGAAAACATGGGAAGCTGTTGCTCCGAGGGAATTCGGGGGGTTGGCAAATCCCCAGCCGAAGGAGAAAGCCGGCACAATTGCTGCTCTCGGTGTTGTTCGGCAGAGTGTGTCACAGAGAGAACCCGCTGGGAAGCGCTGGCATGTATTGGGTTCCGAAAGAAAAGGAAAGGGATCTCGGACATAAATATTTGACACCGAGCAGGAATGCAGAGTAGGCTTTAGCTCGCTCCGCCGCCGGGGATATAAAATACGCCCTGCTTTGTTAAGCAGGCTCATCTCCAGTCCGCGTTGCAGTGGCAATGTGGACGTAAGGGAAGGTGAGAGTTAAAGCTGCAGGCTCTTCTGGCTGTGCCCTGTCCTGTTTGGACTGTGATTGAATTTTCAATTACTACTTTTCTGCTGCTCTAGAATGTTAATGCAGTCAACAAATATTTTCCAGTCCTCTGTAAAGGAGTGTACCTTGGCCAGGTACGGAATGTCTTTCCGGTTTCTCTTTCTTTCTGAAAGCAAAACGAAACCCCTTTGCAGCGTAACAAAGGGCTGGTGAGAAGTGTTGAGACGTAGGGAACGAGACAGACCTATTTTTAATAACGCAGCAGTTTTGAAACCGAATCAGAAGCCCACCTGTTTCGTCTTCTAAGAAGTGCCACAGAACAGAGTGAACATCTGAGCTATTCAAGGGTATTTTTAAGTCTTGCAAAAATGTATATGCAAAGTTTGGGTACAGAATCATGTTCTACTCCTGGATATTACTGGCTGTAAATAACTCTTTACTCAAAAGATCTATGCTGAGGAGAAAACCACTCCGTCTCTAAACCAGTGAGGTAATTATCCCCATTCAGAATCCGAATGCGTGCATCCCCATGTAGGTCCATGTCTGGGTTATACTGGCTGGCTCATTTCAGCTTTAGGATATTCTATAAGGGGTAATTTAGAAACGCGAAGGAAAGGTGGTCTCAGTGATGCCGGATCTCTAAATGAATACTCCCCCAGAGTCTAGTAGGCTTGTTGGTTTGCTGCTGTCTGAAGTGATCTTGGATTCTTAGTGCTTCCGTTTTTCCCCCAACACGAAGCGTGTGCACTCCCTCTCATCCCCCCTTCTGACTCGATAATTGATTTGAGAGAAAGCAGCCACCAGGCTCAGGAATGACTGGTGACCCCAGGATAGAAAGCAATCACGTAAATCTTCTTTCCATCGGACATCAGCCGCGGTTTTAGGCATGCCGGGTTCCCGAATAAAGCAGCACTCGGGTTCCTATTCATCTGGATGCATCAGGGAGCCATTTCAATTGATGGAAGACTGTCCTACGTGAATTTGGTAAAGGCGAAAGGCCTTTGGTATCGGTCGCTGGGAAGGGAGGGTTTCAGCTCGAGCGGTGTTAAGCAGCAGGGAGCCTGCACACCAGAGCCTTCACAAAAACCCCAAACGTGGGAGAAATTTCATTTTAAGCTCGCGCTTCGTTTAACGACGCATCAATCAAGCAGAAGATACGGCTCTGCAGAAACCGGGCTTTGCTGACTGGGGTGGTCGTGAGCGATTTGCTCAGTCTGTGTCCGGATAACTTCTGGTAGAATCGGCAAACCGGGAGATTGTGGAGTTACTCTGTGAGGCAGCACCTGCTGTGAGTTGTGTTGAAAATGCACAAAGGCGAATATTGAGCGTGCGTTCTGTAACCTGATAAATCGGGTCCTGGCTTGTGAGCGAGCTCGGGTGCGGTACGAGGACGCAGGTGATGTCAGGAATCCATGGGAACTTCAGCCGCATCACTCTGCTGAGCGTGACGCTCTGGAAATGCGCAGGTTTAATTTAATTTTTCATTTTTTATGTGTAGATGGAAATTAGATGTGAGGGGGAAGACAGTGTCCTGCAGTTTGAATTACCTTAACGGCTCTCTGTTTGGCTTCGCTGCCTTAGCTCCACTGAAAGCTGACTGCCTTGCTTCGCTGCTTGCGTGTCCAAAGCAGAAGGCGGAGCGCAGGTTAAAACGGCAGCGGTGGCCGGGAAAGGGCAGCGTGCCTGCCTCGGCTAGACCAGGTCGGTGACACCGCGGGGGCAGTTAGAGCTGCCCTCCAAGTGCTTCCCCTGGCCCCGGGAAGCAGGACGGGTGCTCAGGAGAGCTGCGTCCGTACGAGTCCCTGCCTTTGTGGCAAAAAATACCCGCTTTTTGTGTCGGGCAGAAATACCCCGTTTTAGCAGCGTAACTTTGGGCATATTTTAGTTGATATGCAAGAAGTTAATTTTTATTCCATATTTAATTTATTTTTTTCCCCCTCTTCCAAGCCCTTAGATGAATATGGCCTTATATTGGGAAGGTGGCCTGCGTTAATACAAGGGCTAACTCTTCCGCTGCCATCCAGCAGCCATCCAGCTGATCAGATGCTTCTGAGATGGGATGTCTGGAAGGTTTAATTTGCTCACCTCAGAATGAATCCTTTGAATCGCGAGTCCATCTCTTGCCTGCGTAGCCATATTCTCTCTGAAGCACAGCAGGTTTTTTCGTGATTACACCCCGGTGAACCGATCGCTTCCCTGTGTCGGGTTTGGACCGAGAAGGCCGCGTTGCATGCTTGGCCCCTTGAAATCCGTTTGAGAAAATAAGCAAGAAGGTGGTGTTTCTATTTGAGACAGGGCTCTGAAGTGCAGCTGCCACCTCCGTGGGCTGGCTGTGCGCTGCAGGAATATCACGGGGCTGTCCTTGGGGCATTAAAATAGTTTCCACAACAGCTGATTGAGGTACCAAGCCCCGACTTCGAATGCGCCCAGGCAGCAAGCAGGGACAGAAATTGAGCGAGTACGGCTTAGTAACCCAACAGACCCGCTCAGATATCTTAATGTATTTTGGGGAAGGGAGGTGCCATTTCTTCCAGAGCTTTTTATTTCACATTAGCCGAGGTCTCTCGTGCTATCCCTGGGAGAGCCGGCGCGGTTACCGTTGACCTGAAAAGCCACAGAGTCTATAAATGTTTCACGGTTTAACTGAATCTTGATTGCATGGCACTTTTAAGTGTATATGCTGTCCAGTCCCCCAAAGCCGTCTGCCTGCGAGCGTCCTGGCTGGGGCAGGAGGGTGGACCTGCAGTTTGGAGCGGGATTTTTTTTTTTTTTTTTAAGTTTCGTACGCTATTTTACTGTGCAAACTTTCCGTGAGCTGGCACGGGTGTGGTGGGGATGAAGTGCTGGACGGGGTTCGGAGGAGCTAAGTGCGTACGCGTTAATCTCGCTGTGCGCTTTCGTAAAGTGTGCTCTGTGACGCCGGTTGGGACAAAGTCTGCGCAGCTGTCGGGCTGGTGCTTTTCTTTCTTTTCTGTGTCTCCTTACGAAATGACTGCCTGCCGTGGCTCAAAAGTGAGCCAGGACTCAGCTCGGCTTGACCTGGGGGCTTGAGGGGGAAATAGCGGCCCCTGTTTTGACTTCCTCGAGGCGTCAGCTGTGAAGTTGTTTCATCTCGTGTGTCCCAGGAAGCAGAGCAGGCATTTGTTAGGTCTGTGGTCTTGCATGTGTTTCCTACAGAAAGGACTAATTAGCGGAGTTAGGAGAGGAGCAGATTGGTATTTGGTAGGGTGGATTCTTCCTGGCATCGTTAGTGTTTCTATTTAAGAGATCCTGTGTTATTAGTCCAATAAATAGCACTGAAACACAAAAGTAAATGATTTAGGATGAATGATTTCTCACCACCTCATTTTGCTGGAGGATGCAGTTGTGAACAGAGAAGCAATTAAGGCCGTTGGCGTCGTCTCTGGGGTTTATCACATCAAATCAACAGGGTAGCACTGCATGGTGTATGTTTTAATGCAGCAGAGATCAGTCTGAGCGTCTGACTGACTTGTCATGTCAGACATGACATGCATAGTCTGAGCCCCGGCTTTGGGAAGGAGCTTTCCTTTCTCACAAGGATGTTAATTCCAAAATCCTGAAGTCACTGGTGGCCGCCAGACTTCTGTCCATGCAGGCGTCAGCGTTTTAAATTCTGTCCCTTCTTGCAAATACCCACTGTCACAAGAGACCTGAGTGCCAGCAGCCCTTTTAATGATGCCTGGGAGTGCTCAAGGGCAATATCAAATGTATACAGCGTAGTCTCCGTTGCATAATTTTTGCATGATAAACATTTTAACACCAGCAGGACTTGGGCCGTAGCGAAGCGACTGGAAGCTGGAGAAGCGGCCCGGAGCGAGGTGCCGACAAGCTCGGTCCCCTGTAAGACCAAGCGCAAACGGAGATGTGGGAGAGGGATGGGACTGAGTAGCTGAAAATGCACTGCATGGGGGAGCTGAACTTCATCTTTCCTGGCACCTGGGTCCTTGGTGGCTGCTCTGCAATGAAGATTTTGAGAAAAGATTGCTAATTCTCACTTGGTGATGGGAGTCTGAAAGCCATTTACAAGATTAAGGACTAGAAAGTTGGTAACTTGAACTTCTGTGAGCTTGGGAAACTTGAGAAAATCTTGCTCATGGGGCTGAAATGGGTAAGGACAGCATGAGGAAGAATTTAACCGTTCATCTGTAGCCTTAATAAGAGGCTGACCTTTCCATCATGTTCACAATTCTGTCACTGTATTTGGAGGCATCTCAGTTTAAATGCTACATCAATGTCTGGGAACCGCGGAAGTCAATGGTGTGTCTCAAAATCGCGTACGAGTTATTTAGAGGAGGTGAGGGAAAGAACATGAATCAGCAGCTTGGAATATCAGCTGAGCTAAAGCAGGAAGGGCAGTGACCGAGCGAGCGTCCCCGCAGAGCACCCTGGCCTGCTGAAAGCGTCCCTTCCCCCAGGCAGTCCCCAAAGCCACCGGCCAGCGGCAGCTGTAGAAACCCACCAGCGGTCTTGCACTTCCCTGACCCCGGGCAGGGCTCGAGGCGTCAAAGCACACGCAAGCAAATGCCCTCCTAGGAAATCCACCCGTGGCTTTGTGCATGCGTGTCAACTCCCTGGAAAGGGGTGGGTGACGCAGAATAGGAGTGCTTAAAACCTCTGGGGTCCTGCCGTTGGCCCCTGCCCAGGGGCACGTGTTCTTCCCGAGACCAAATGCGGCTAAAACACCGGTTTGAAGTACGTTCTGTCATAGTAAACCGCGTCTATGAACAGCTATATCCCTTTTCTTTAGCAAAGCTGAAATTTAGCCTGCTCAGACCCTTGGCAGAAAAACCGAGCGCGAATTTGTGATACCAGGCAGGATCTCTCGGTGAAATGGTGGGGCCTGCAGATTTATGTGACCTTTGCTCGCTGGCAGGGAGCAAACCTGTTGGTGATGGCTGTCTCAATTATGGGTCTCTTTTGGAACATATAAGCATTACCTTGGAGATTATAGCTGGCAGGGAACACAAGCTGCTGGATCTTCAAACCCATTTATCAGTCTGCTTGCCATTTGTATCTCCAGGTGGAGGAAATTGGTAACCACACTGCTCGAAGGCTCTAGCGCGTTTGTTAACTCTTTATTGCTGGGCTCAGTAAAAGATTAGTATGGAAACGGAGGAGCGGTACTGGTCTGGTCTGCTTCAGCGATCTTCTGTTTTGCACCAGCCCTGTTGGGGCTTGTGGTTTTCTTGGCTGGCTCTAGCGCGTTTGTTAACTCTTTATTGCTGGGCTCAGTAAAAGATTAGTATGGAAACGGAGGAGCGGTACTGGTCTGGTCTGCTTCAGCGATCTTCTGTTTTGCACCAGCCCTGTTGGGGCTTGTGGTTTTTTTGGCTTGTGGTTTTGATCCGTGGTTGGTTTTTTTAAACTGACCCAGAGCTGAGGAGTGAATCGGCTTCTTGAGTTCCGTGGGGGGCGTTGGCAAAGCAGATTCAACTGGGGTTACCTGGCTAAACAGAATCGGGTTCTTAAACAAGGCTGGAATATCTCTCAGCAGCTAACAACCCTCTGCTAACCATATGGCAGAATTAGCCAGCGAACACCATACGTGTGTAGGATTTCAATTTTCTCCTTGGCAAAGTAACAAGTCGGCGCTGACCTCTTGCTTCGTATCTTTCTAAATGTCTCTCGGTGCCTGTTGTTCAGAAGAGAGCTTCCCTCTCCTTTGTCTTCACAGATCCGTCTGGGTTTATTTTTGATGTGCAGTCCAATACTGTGATGGCCCAAGGAGGAACCTTTGAAAACATGAAGGAGAAGGTAAATGTGTCTTCTGAGACTTTAACTCACCACGTGCCGTGGAAGAGCTCCTGAGCGCTGTATCTTCATCTCCTCTCTGAGATGAAATATGTTTCTGTCTGGGAGCTAACTGCAGCTCTGTCAAAAGCAAAATTTTATTCAGGCTAAATCGTCCTGGCACATTAAAGTTTTATAAGGAAGTAATCGTTTACGGTTTTTAGACTGCTCGCAGAAGGGTTGCTGTAGGCTCCGTGTGGGATAAAGCAAATGGTTTACATGTTACCCTGTTTTCTTCCCTCTAGATCAGCGCGGTGCGTGCAATAGTCCCCAACAGGAGCAACAATGAGATTGTCCTTGTGCTGCAGCATTTTGACAACTGTGTGGACAAAACAGTGCAAGCATTTATGGAAGGTAACTGCGGCTGGTTTCTTGGCGGGGTTTGTGGCTTCGTAACTCGCAGGTACCGTCTTTATGGACCTACTTCAGAAGCAGCAATAGCCTTTGTGCAGAAAGGGCTGTGTGCAGGAGGTACGCCAGGTGGCAGAAGCTCATGTAGCTTCTCACCACATCCAAGTGCAGACTCCATCCACAGAGATAACGAACAGATGATCCTCTTCCCAAGTTTTAGTTGGTGTTTGTTCAACTAGGGGTCAAGGCAGAGATAAGCATTTGATAGCTCTTTACCTAAAGGGGGGTTGATACTTAATTACAGAAACTCTTGTTCATGTGTACAGAATGGGAATGTCTTCAGCTTCGATGGTTGCTGTTTGTACTTTGAAACCTGGCTCAAAAATCTTCTCTTGGGTCTGGCTGGCATGCTGCATTAGGTGGATTTTCTGACCTTGGAGAAACAGGCTGTTCCTGGTGACAGTGCCTGTCGCTTTGCAGCTCTTATTTCCATGCCGGCCATCACTGACAACTGCGCTCTGCCTCTGGCCTACGGAAGGTATGACAGCTATTCCTCAGACTGTGGGCATCCTGACACAGTCAGTGCCTCTGGGGAGAGAAGGCCAGCAGACATCTGACCTGAACGCAACCTTTGAGTTCAGAACATGCTCCAGCAGGGTTCCAAGTACCTAAACCTTTAGTATGACAGAGCCAAAGAGAAGATTTTTTTGTTTGTTTGTTTTTGTTTTCCTGGAAAGAGCTGGCACTGTGGTGTAAGGGAGTAGTCCCGTTCAGCAGTGTGCTCCCAAAGCAAAAACGAAATCGATCCTTTTATTACATCAACTGAGAGAACTGAAACTTAGCTGCGGGAAGTGTGACAGCTGGCTCCAGGTATGGAGGCACTTCCACGTGACCGGGAAAGAATTGGAGTGGATGCCGGTCCACTGCTCATCGCTGCATTTCATTTCAGGTAATGCCAGTGAAGTACTGAAAGAATGGACTGTAACAGGCAAAAAAAAGGTAACGCTTTTTAAATATACTTTGCTAAGGCATTTATCTTTTTATTTTGAGGATTTAGACTAGAGAGAACAGTAGGCATTCCTCGTGATTCAGATGGGAAAAGAAACCAAAGAGCAAACGTGTATATTGACGTTAGCGGAACTGATGCACGGAGATAATCACTAGGTTATCAGGTGCCTCGCTGTTCAGGGCAAGGATTTACATGGTAGCTTCAGTGCAAGTTGTAAACATCATCTTCTCGCCACATCTGCATTTCATTTAGTTGTCAGACACGTTGTGTCAAATGTAGCATCTGAAAAAAAAGGTTCTGGACTTTCTGTCCTTGCAGTCGCTTTTATTCTGCTGACCCTCTACAGGACCCCTAATCCGCACACACAGCCCCACGCTGAAGTAAATCTTTATCAGGTCCATTTATTTCAACGGAGCTCTGTAATTCACTGTTCAGATAGTCATGCTGTTCCATTTTTCATCGGTAACCTTTGGAGCTGAACAGTTGCGTTTTAATGCTGAGCTCTGTGGAAATATATTTCTTTGTCACGTAAGCTTTCTCGAGTGTTTTGCCTAGTTCTTTGCTCAGACCTCTGTGAAAGGGTTAAATAAAGATTTGCAAAGTTTCACTACTTGATATTATAATATCTAAATCCACCAGGACAAGAATAAAATCATAATTATTCAAAAGGACTCCTCTGAATACGTGAAAAGCACCAGCGTGAAATGGAGAGGGGAAAAAAATGTGACTGAATAGCCCTGTGCTGGGAAATGAGGGAAGTTTTATCAGAGCGAGGTCTAGCAGAGCACCCTGGAAGCTGCACCTTGCCAGTGAGCACCCACAGAAGCAACCCGGCTGGTGCTGTGGGTTACAGCCACAAACCTCTCCGCTGTTTCCTATCAGTTATGCAGCCTTCATCTGATAACCAGTGCATTGCTCTTGTTGGCACACCATCGGAGAGGATAATGTATTCGCGCCTCATTAATGCCACTATATCTGTCCTCATTGTTGACTAAATCCCTCCTACTGTTAATAGGATCAACAGCCAGGCTGCCTGAAAAAGCATTTAATTCAGCTACTTTCAGCCAGTAAGCATAAGCTTAATTTTCCCTTCAGGAATTAAGCTTAACGGTTTTGTTTTTTTTTTTCCCCCCTTTGTGATGTGGATACCTAATCCTTAGAACAAGAAGAAGAAAACCAAACCGAAACAGCAAGCTGAATCGAGCCCCGGCCTCCCAGACCCCGGTAAATTGGTGTCCACTGAAGAGGAGCAGTCGGCAAACTCGGAGAAGGGTGGAATTAACGGTTTCCATGTCAACGGCTGTGCCCACGACACGGAGTCTGTGGACTCGCTCAGCGAAGGTTTGGATGCACTTTCAATTGATGCCAGAGAGCTGGAGGATTGCGAGTCTGCTGCACCAGACATGCCTGATAGAACAGGTTAGTCTCTATAAAGTAGCGCAGGAGACGGGCACCGAGTGTTTAAAAAGCAGAGGAGCTGCCTCCTGCTCTTTCGTGTTCCTTCTTTGTTTTGGGTCAGCTTTGAATACTGATTTGTTTGGATGGCTCTTCAGGAAAGAGCAGCTCACCTTGATTTTTCTGATTTTTTTGCTTGTTGTGGTAAAGAGGCGGTCAGTGTTCTGCTGTCCTCTTCACGTTCCCCTTTAAACGAGTGTGCTTTTCTACAGCAGTGCCTGAACTAGAGAATGGAATAGCAGACTTTGACACAAAATCGCTCATCATGCATCCTTCCCAGAGCCCTTCGTCTCTTAGACAGCGGCCTGAGCAGAGGAGTGCTAGCAGGTCTCTGTCCAGATCAACAGCGAGCAATTCAACTCCTGCGTCCCTGTCTGTAATGCGGCTGGAAGATGTTCCAGTTTCACCTGCAAACAAGAAGCTAGGTAAGGCCCTGAGGGTCTGCACGCTCTCCGATGTCGGAGCAGGTTGCTGCTGGTCAAATTCTCACCGCCTCTTCTGCACTGTCACTGACAGACACGGTGGTGAGGCGTACTGGACTTTGATTTTAATGTGAGCTAACATACTTCTTATTATCTGGCCAGTAACTTGCACTCCGCTCCTCCTCTTCCCTATGCACAGCAGGAATCTTGACAGCAGTTTAGATGTAGTGCCTGGAGCGGCAAACCCATACGTGTGAGAAGCAGGGGAGGAAGCAGCCAGTCTCGCTGCATACGTTTAGCCCATTCTTCTGTGTGCTCCATCACAGAGCCTTTAGGTTGTTTCTCATCTTTTGTGAGAATTTGTCCAAAGGCCAGAAGTTCGGACCAGCCCTGTTACAAGAAGTGACAGCCTCCTTCTACCGGATTTTTTTTTTTCTTCCCCTCTTCCGTGTGCTTTCTCCACAGCTGAGTTCTTACGATAACAAGTGGGGACAGGAGGGACCTCAGAGACCCCGATTGTGATCACGGTTATTGTACTTAGCTTAGGGAGATGAGGTGGTGGTAGTTCACCTCCTTGCTGCGTGGGAAAGCTGTAACGAGCAGTGTTAATGTAGCTTGGCGGGGGGCAACTGCACTCCAGCAAGCTCCAGAGAGCGTGGGCAAGGTGATGTACCCTGCTGGTGAGCTGAGACACAGGGACTAACCTCGGCAGCCATAAGCAATCCTTTCAGCTCCTGATTTGAGGAAATAGCCTTAATTTTAGTTTCCGAGATAATTCCCTTCCCCAGGCAAACAGTCATTTCGTATTATTTAGCGGTATGGTGTGTTGGTCTTTGGAGCAGAACGCATTTCACTTGTCTCAGTCCCTAGCACAAAAGCAACTCAGAGATGTGTTTGATTTCTCTCGTGTATTTGAAAATGTGGAGGGACATCCCTGCCCGTAGAAGGAGGTTCTACAAGCCTTGGGAAAACCTTCCCCAGTAAGAAAACCTCTCAAACTGTCCCTGCTGAACCTAGTGCCTTTTTAATGGGGAGGGGAAAGAAAAATTTAAAACCAAGCAGTGTATAGTTTTAAAATAAGAGGGGGAAGTCATCTTTAGATATATCCCTGCTGGGAGGATTTAGCAGTGTGATTGACATGGCTGTTTGAGTTCACTCTGTCTCTTGGTAGGTTCTAATATTGAAAAATCAGTGAAGGATCTCCAGCGCTGCACCGTTTCACTGGCTCGGTACCGGGTTGTGGTGAAGGAGGAAATGGATGCTTCCATTAAGAAGATGAAACAGGTCTTTGCTGAACTGCAGAGCAGGTAAGTTAAATGTAGGGACAGATCCAGGTGTTAAGGCTTAAGACTTTCTTAAGGCTTTTTAATACATTTGGAGTAAGACTTCGGCTTTCCAGTCGGGTTAATGACTTGCTTGTCTTTGCCCTACCGCCCAAGCACTGTTCTTCAGCGTCTGGGAGGTCAGCGTGTCGTAAAGAACTCCGCACTCTGGAGTTTTTTAGAAGCCGCCTTCGTGGGCGGCTTTGCAAGGCCTGCGTTCGAGCTGTTGTCCCACGCGTGCAGTGGGATGTTAATAAGCTGTTCAAGGCTTTGGTGTGTCCGTCAGGGTCTTCGATGAACTGTGGCTCCGTGGCGGTACAAGACAGTTGTCCTGACCATCATAAAGTCGTTTTAGACGCAGACGATACGAGCATACTGTCAGTTAGGTGCTACTATTAGCTGTGCTGGAAGGAGAACTGTGTGGAGCTCGGGGTGCAGTAGTGTGTCTCTTTTAGAAACAAACATCCGTATGTGAAATCTTCAAATTCTGGTTGAATATAACATGGAAGAGAGGGGTCCTTTTGAAGGTATAGATACACATCAAAGATCATCCTGTGCGGCATTGCTTCCCCCGTTTTAAGCCAAGCTTTTAATACTGTGCATGATGTTCCCTACGGCTGTAATCGGGTCTTTTTTTTAATGAACATCTTTATTGGTTTGGCTAAGTGCTTTAAGATGATATTCCGAAAGGCCTAACGTCAGATATACCCGCTGTCTTGGCTGATTGAAGCCATTAGTGAGAAATTGTTCTTCTTGGTTATACAAATATGATTGTTTTGGTAAAGAAATGTTCATAAGAAACTGCACAGAGAGTTCTCCTTGCCTGAAGTGAGTAACATTTGACAAGTAACTAAAATGCTGCTATCGCATTGAAGGATTAAAGTAGATACTTGGCAGACTTGCAAATCTGTGTCAAAAGCTGTCTATGTCTGAAAACTGTATGTGGCCTCAAAGGCAAGCGTATTTAGCGGCAGTGATGCGGAGAGCTGTATTCTGAAGCCTTTTAGCAGATTTAGTTGTTCAGTGTGGACTTTTTTCTTGTGCTCGTACTTGCGTTGAACTTTGCCACCAGGAAGTGCTCTCCTGAAGTAAGTGGAATGCTGTCCTGTATTTAAATTCAGCCTGTGCTAAAAATACTGACAAAAATGTTTACAGATGACTTTTAAACTTACCTGAGGAGACTAGACCAAACTGGAAGGGTAAGGTTAAAGGTGTCCGTGTGCCCTGAGCTGCGTTTTCGTGCTAAGAGCTGTGGTCTCCAAGCCGAAGCTGGACGTGGAGCTCCCAGCACCTCCCGCCTTTTGGAAAAGCTGCGACGTAAGGGGATTTACCTTATCAATAGCTGAGGGATTTGTAGCCCTAACTCAAGTTCGTTTTTATGAATATTATTTCTTACTTTGTTGTTAGTGGCTTTGTCTACTGAGTCAATACTGATGCAGTATTATCACTGTACGCAGTGGGTTTTTGTTGTTAAGTTTTTTGTCTGCCTCTCTATGCAGTTACAACACCTGTAAAAAAAAAAAAACTCTCCCTGGCATGGAAAATGTCATTCTTTTGGCTAACGTGTCTGGCTCCGTATAAGTAATTCCTCGCCCTTCGACTTACGTTACCATCTATAAAACACTTGCGTCATGTTCGGGAGGGTCAAAGACTCAAGTCCAGTCCCGCAGCATTGCTCCGATAAGCCGAGCCGGCAGCGGGTGAAGCAGGATGTGCGGTTCCGTGAGCGGGGAGGCGAGCGCCTGCCTGGAACGGGGCCACCGGGAACCTCCTTCGACAAATGTCAAGGGAAGGAGCTGCCCAGCAGGATGCCAGGTCCGTGCAATTGATAAGCGGCGACTCTGCAGCCGGGGCCGTTCGGCTCCGCAGAAGGAGATTCACTTTCCTTTTCCCAGAAGTGATGCGGTTGCCGGTGAGCTGAGGTGTAAATTGTACCTTCACGTTTTTTTCTGTTGTTGTTTTGTTTTTCCAAGTCCCTTCGTGACCCAGAGAATAATCAGTGTATTTTTAAATCCTACGGCACAAGGCGGGATCCTCTTGCTGAATTGCCTCTCCAGCTGGCTTTCTACCAAAGGAAAACCTGGTTTAAAAGCAGGTTTGTTCAACTGACACAGGATATTTAAGTAGCAAAGCTTGGACTGGTTTAACTTCTGCCTGTCAGGGATGTCCTTTTAACCAGTGAGGCTTCCTAGAGTTCTTGACCTTCATCTTCTCTGGCTAGACAACGTGCTTGTATTAGACCTGTGGCCTGTAGGTAGGTGAGGGTGAAGAAGGAGACTCTAATGTTGGGGTCGTGCCTATCTCAATCTCTGAAATCCATCCTGTTTGAGTAGCAGATGTAGCAGTAGCTGCTTTGGCTTCCTATTTTGAGAGGATTTGCTCCTCCGGGCTGGAGATGATTGGGTAGCCTGAACTAAAGAATCCTCGTAGTCCTTATTTCCTGACTATTTTGCTATCCGCTGACAGGGAAAATAGCACATTGGGGAAAAAAACACCCCCGAGCCTTTGTGAGTGGTGCGGGTAAGTTCAACTTCAGCGCCGCGTGCTGAGGTTGGGTGTGGGGCAGGGTTTGAGGTTTCTCGCTGCTGAGGTCATGGCCGCGTGCCTCGTGCTGCGGGTCGCCCTTGCTTCCTCGTGGCAGAGCTGCCAGGCGTGCTTCCAGCCACCTTCGATTGCAGTCAGTCTTTGAGGTCGCTGCGTTTCAGCCCCAAGGAAAACTGACCCCCAAAACCCTTGGCGTGCTTGTGCAAACAGCTGTTGTCTTTCGCGAACAGACATCGTCTCGCAGGCGCTGCTCGACCGAGCTGGCTTGCAGCTGAGAGCATTGCTTCTAATGGTTGGGTTGCAACCAAGTATTCAGCATTATTTCATCTTCAGCAGTTATCGGTTTATCCGCTTCCCCTTTTTCTTCCTTGTGCGCTTCTTAAATGTCCCTTCTTAAAGCCCAGTCCTTCTGGCAGGGGCAGACGCGCTCTCCGTCCTGCCTGGGATCTTGTCCCAGGACAGCAGTCGAGAAGGGAAGGCGTGTTTCCGAACGGATCCGGCAGAAGGAAGTGAGTTTGTTTGACGAGAAGCCGCGCAGGATGGAGGAGCAGTGGGGTCTGATCCGAGTCGCTCATCACGCGAACCTCAGGCAGAGCCGCTTGACCTCTGTTCCTCAGCCAGCCCAACTGTAAAATCGGGTAAAGGACTCCAGCTGAGCTCTGCTGAGTAAATGAAATTACAAAGAGACGCAAGCTATGATCTGTGCCAAGGTGCGTGCGTGTGTGCCCGCAGCCTGGCGGAGAAAGCCCAGAATGGCCCATATGAAGTGGGCGTTGGCTCTGCAGGAGCTGGGCGTGTTGCCGGTGTGTTCAGGGAGGAGGCGCTGGGGTAAGGTGTAGCACAACCGAGTTCTGCAGCACGAGAGCCGCAAGGCTGTTCCTGCACTTGAATTAATCATTAAGGCCGCATTCACACCCGTATCTCTCCGAGCTCCAGGGGATTCCTGCTGCTGACGTGGCTCTGGGCAGAAGGCAGCTGGGCTATCTCCCTTTACCCTGCCCGTCGGTGTTGCAGAGCCAGGTTGAACCGCTCCGGAGATGGCTAGAAACAAGGTGAAGTCTTATTAGCGTAGCTTTTGACACGTGTTGTTGTATTTGTGCAGTTGGGCTGAGAGTGCCTGACCTGGATCAGGCCCCTGCTGTGCTACGAGCAGAAACAATTCCTGCCCTGAAAAGGCAGATGGACAGAGCGATAAATCAACAGAAGAAGCCAAATGTCAAAGCTGCTGTTCAGAGGGAATTGTTTAAATTGATCTTGCCTCAGCCCTCTCTGACATGCAGAGGAGCGGGAGCGGTGGGTTGAGTTTGCGTTTCAGATGCTCTGCGGTTTCCCTTTCAGATGGTCGCTAAAATAAATATTCTTCCCATTTTCAAGCAAACCTTCCTCGCTAAAAAAGCGTGTGGTCGGTGTTGAAGGGCTGACCCTGCGCACTGCCGATACCCCTCTGAGTACCATTTAGTGTCTGTGCTGCAAGTGTCATGCAGCTAACGTGGGAGGAAGACTCTGCTTTTATATTTAGAAAGCTGAAACTGAAATGAACCCTATTAATAGGCTGTCGAATGCGTTCAGGCCGCTGGCAGCAGCTGAGCGAAGGTGAGCTGCAGCGGTGCAGGCTGAGGGCGTTGGAGGCGTAGCTTAGAGCGAGCACAAAAGAAGCATTTGCAGGGAGGGTGTCTGCAAGGGTCTGGATTCCTTACGGCGAAGAACACTGTCGAATGCGTTCAGGCCGCTGGCAGCAGCTGAGCGAAGGTGAGCTGCAGCGGGGCAGGCTGAGGGGGTGGGAGGCGGCGCTTCGAGCGGGGAGAAAAGAAGCATTTGCAGGGAGGGTGTCTGCAAGGGTCTGGAAGAAGAACGAAGAACAGAGCTGCGACCGGTACCTGCCCCTGTCCAGAATGGGAGGACTGGTATTTCCCCTCCTGCTTCCGTTGCAACCCGAGTTACTCGGTGTGCACATCTCCAGGGGCAAGAGCCCTCTTTGCACGGCCTGTGAGCAGCGCTTATGCGGAGCTCCCCGGGTGCTCTGCCTTGCTGGAGGGTGCTCCGTAGCCTGAATTTGCTAAATTTGGCCAGGCGGTAGCTGTGCGGTTCCGCTTGCGTAAAGGCTGCCGCCGTGATGCCCCGGGGGAGTTGCGGTCTCATGGCAACAGACACACTTGAGGCACGCTGGAGCCTCCTGGCGAGTGGAGGTGCTTCGCTGTGACCCACTCAGGTGTTCCCTCCGTGGCCAAAAAATCCTCAGGCCGTAAGAGACTCCCGGATCGTGGACCTGCGTGGCTCTGGGTGACCTGCCGGCTGCGTGGTGGCGACCGGCAGGAGGTCCTGTCCTTGTACCTGCTGCACCGTGTGGAAGGGTGCGCGTGCTCTCGTGTGGGTCCTGCAGCCCTGTGGGGATCAGCAGGGTACGCGCCTCCCGAGAAGCGGCACAGAGCACCAGAATCCAGGTTTCTGGGTTGGTGGGCCAATTTGGTAGGCTTAAATAAGCTAATGAGGGCATAAGAGTCAAGCATTGCTTCACGATGTGGCACCTGAGAGGCTGCCTTGGAAGGGACGGGTGCCCGAATGCCCGGCGTCCTGCTCCTGCTATCGCAGCTCCTCGTCCTGCCCCACTGCTCATCAGTTTTGTGTTCTGAGTGGCTCTTTTAAACGTTGTGCTCTAGTTTTCTTCGGTGAAGAAGAAAAGTCCAGCGGAGTGCAGCTTCCCCCAACACCGCGGCTGCCGCTCCCTCTCCCCTTGCCAAGTGGCTCCGACTTTATCAGAGTAAGGTGACCACGTACCCAGCGGGTTGTCGGGAACGCCGCACTGTGCTCCGTGCTGACCCAAGCCTGAGCAAGTTTAATGCCAGCGAAACCTGCACACAACTCCTCAGCTTCCAGAACAAAAGCCGGGGCTCGGTGCGCAGCGCGGCGGGTTCCTGCTGCCATCTGCCGGTCTCTCCCCGCTGGCCGGCACGCCTGGAAACCCTCCCGCCGCTGTTCTTGCAGTAGGATTTCGTTGTCCTCTTTGTTTAATACTAAATCTCTTCCCTTTTTCTGTGGTTTTTTCCCCCCAGCCTTATGGATCGCGAGGTGGCGTTGCTGGCTGAAATGGACAAAGTGAAAGCAGAAGCAAGTAAGACTCTGTCTTTCTACCAACAAGCGCCCACCTGAAGAGCTGTAGGTGTTGCTGCACTCTGAAGAGACAAGCCCCCCTAGAAGCAGATTTCTGTGACTTACCTCCTGTTCACATTGTTCCTAAATATGTGGCTCTGTACCCAAACAAAACTTGCCCTATAGCTTGAGTTGACAGTATATATTGTGACTAGGGGATGTTGGCTGCTGACACCGTTGACGGCACCCATCCTCTTCGAGGCCGTTGCTCTGTGCCCTCGTTAAAGGGTGAGACAGAAACGGCACTCTTCCACGGGAGGCCATTCCTGAAAATCTCAGCGTTCCTGGCGAGCTGGAAAGGGCTTTCTCCGCTCACCTGGCGCGGGTGGGACGTGATCCGCAGGGACGCCCGCACCGGCAGCACCAAGCCCCGCGGTTCAGGGGGCGGCAAGGAAGCGGTTAGCCTGGGGAGAGCGGCAAAGCTTCTACCGAAGCTGCGTGTCGTGCCCCTCCTCGAGTCGGCTTACAGCTCAGGTTCAGTCTGTGTCTGGAGATGTAAATCGCCGCAGGAGGGAGCGGCTGGGGCTGCTGTGCAGCTGGCACAGAGCTGCCCGCGGGGGGACTCGGGGGAACCTGTTGTTTACCAATAAGGTGCTGTGTGCCGGGGCTGGGGTTGTTTAACTCTGGGTAGGCTGGTCCGCTGTCGACGCTGCCTAAGCTGTGGTCTGTTTTGCAGTGGAAATTCTGGTCAGCCGCCAGAAGAAGGCAGAAGCCCTGAAGAAGATGACTGATGTGGCAGTGCGAATGTCGGAGGAGCAGCTGGTCGAGCTCAGAGCCGACATAAAGGTGAGCTTTTCACTCCGCTTCTGTCTAATCCAACCGAGTGCTAATCTCGCCGAAATGTGGTGTTGCAGAAATGACGCAGCCCATGGTAGGAATTATGCGGGTGCCACCTCAACAGGGCCTGGCCCTAGGTTCCTGCTCGAAGAAGATGAGTCGCCAGTCTGCTGAGTAAATAAGCGGTTTATTTATCCGACAGGCAGAGCAGCTCGAGCTGGGTGCCTCCGAGGAGGGACCCCTACCCTGGATCGCGCACCCCAATTATACCCGTACCACCCAGCGCCCGATCCCCAAGTCCAACCCCTTAATTCTGGTCGCTCGTCTCTTGATTTCCTACTGGGTTTCTTGGTCACTGGGCTGGCCGCCTTCTGAAGTTACCTCATGCTCTTGGAATTGTTTCCTTGGTCCTTATCCTCTCCATTCCGCTCGTATCTGCCGGATTCGGCGAGTTCTGTGTTTGCAGCGTTAGTTTTATCAGAAAGTTTACTCTCGGACAGCTCTTGCGGCCTAAGGCTTCAACTGCTTTAGCTTCTAGGGCTAAGCAAGGCTATTAATCCTAACAGTTCTCAACAGTGGTACGCTTTTTTGTAACCTTCTGGGTTTCCGGCACTTCTGGGTGCAGTTTTGTGTTGTGCGCAAGTCTTTCCTTGCGTCCGTAGTTCTCGAATTCACCGCCAGTGCTCTGCACGCTGCCGTCCGCAGCCACGCAGTGGGATACGGGACACCTCGTCCTGAATCCTAATTTAAAATAATTTGGTTTGTAAAATACTGGCTTCAGCCAACATCCGATCGTCCAGACATTAACCCCGGTGCGTGCAGCCCAACGTTCAGCCATTGTGAACTGGCAGAGAGCGGGGAACGTGGCAAGGCCGCAGCTTTGTGCTCGGAGCAGTTGTGAAAACCTCCCGCTGGCGCAGGCTGACCTCTGCCTCTCCCCCTAAATCGGGAGAGCCTGCCTGCTGCGCGCGAGTGACTTTTGTATTCCGTAAAACACTCCTGCTCTCCAGCACGCCGGCTCCTGCCACAAGAGGTCAGTGCGAAGTTGCATCAAATTAAACTCCAGTTTGAAAACTAACCTGCTCACCCCCGTAGCAGGATCGGTGCAGCTGCGAAACCTGTTGCCCCTGTGAGCGTCCAGAGACCTGGGCTGTGCTGATTTCGCAGACCAGAGACGGGCAGAGCGGAGCTGCTGTCGGATTGAGTTAACCTACGGCTCGGCTGCTGGAGCCTGGGGAAGGCCGTTTCTGTACGGGTAGAAATCGCGCTGAAAAAAAACCCCCTGGTTTTCTGTTTCCATAAGTCGTCGTGGCCGTCTGCCTTCTCACCGAGAGGTTTTTTTTTTTCAAGCAGCACCCGACGCGGATACCTTTTCCTGGGCCAAAACGGGAGGCTTTCACCTCCGTTTTCTGTTCCCGTGCGCGGACTGAACTAACGTGCGCGTTTTGCCTTTTCTGTGAAGCACTTTGTGAGCGAACGGAAGTACGACGAGGACCTGGGCAGGGTGGCGCGGTTCACGTGCGACCTGGACACGCTGAAGAAGAGCATCGCCTCATTCGGCCAAGGTGAGCTGGATGGGAGTCGGGGAGGAGCCGAGGTGTCAGTCACCCCTTCGCTGGCCCTGCCATCACCAAAACCCTTCACGGGCGCCCCAAAACTTTGATAGCGGCGGGACTGGGAGCGTTCTGCTTTGGGCATTTTGTCTCCTCTCGGCAGCGGAGAGAGGAGCCAGCCCTCCCCTTGCTGCTGCTGCCGACGCTCATCCCTCGGCAAGCGGGGTCTGTGCCCGTTCCCTTCGCTGTCGAGCGCTGGTCCCAGTTAGCCGAGCCCTTGTTCACGCGACCAAAGCTTCATCTTGCCAGAAAAAGCTCTGTTGTCCCTTTGAGCCTTTGGCTCCAGCCATGAGCCGCCTCCACCCCGGCAGTGCTGTGCCTGGCAGGGTCCGGAGGGTGAATGGTCTGGGTCCCGTCTGCAGGACGCCCATTTTGGGGTATTTCTCTTCCAGTTTCCCATCCAAAGAACAGCTACTCCACCCGACTGCGGTGCAGCTCCGTCGCAGCCGCCTCCCTGAGCGGTCCCAGCGAGACCTCTGCTCCCTCCACCCCCGCGTGTGCCTCCGCCGCAAGCCTTACCACGGCGAGCAAGAAGCCCTCGTCCTCAGCCGAGGCAGCCGTGGGGAATGCCACCGGCCGCCCTCCCCAGCCTTCGCGAGAGGTAACCGCGCCCTGGCACGGCACCGGTGCCGGCACGGCGCTGCGGGAAGCTTGCTCGGCGTTTGTGGTTCCTCTCCCGATTCCTGGGCAGGGTCCCTCCCTGCCGGGTGCCCTTTGCTGTCAGGACTCGCGCAGGGCCGGGCAGCAAGGGGCCCGGGAGAGCCGCAGAGCGCAGCCTCGCCTTGACGGTTCTGCTTCAGAGCAGACTTTCGGGGGTTTTGCTTTTCCACTTCTCCCGCCCCAGGAGCAAGAGGCGGGGGGGTGCGTAGGGATGTGGCACACTCACTCGCCCACCCTCTTCTGTTTCAGGCTTTCCAGGGGAACAGGCGGCCAGGAGCGTGGCCCAGGTCCCAAGGCCAGCGCCACGTCAGCCCCCCGGCCCCCGGCCGCTACAACAACGGCAACCGACACAGGAACGGGCCGGGCCAGGCCCACGGCAGGCGGCAAACCTCGCCCCTGGCAGCCTCCCCTGGCAACCCCAGCCAGACTCAGCCCACGGGCACCAGCGGCGCCTCGGGGCGGCCCGGCCCCCCTCCCTCCGGCACAGAGACCAAGGGCCTCCCGCAGCGTAAGCCCAGAGCCAGTCGTCAGGAGGGAGCGAACTCCTGAGAGCCCCCGGGCTCTCCCTTCCTGCCACAAGTCCCACGTGAGAACCAGGCTGTAGGAAGCTCCTAGCTAGGATACTAACGAAGGAAAGTTTACACTTCTCATTTTTCGTGCCATTTTTTTTTGTTTGTTTTCTTCTCTCGTCCTTTTCCCTTCCTCCCCCCCCCCCTCTCCTTTGCTTTGGGTTCTTCTCACGCCTGCGCCGCACCGTCGGAGCGGGTTCAGGCCGTCTCTCTCTTGCCCTTTTCCTTTCCCCTCCAGAAATTCACCTTCGTCGGCCCAATCTCTGGCAGCGCTGGCCAAAACCCAGCCCCCAGCATCTTTTCTTCTGTGCACCAACATCTGGGCCTCGCCTCGGGGGAGCGGCCCGTGACAGCCCATCCCTCCTGCTGGCAGCGGGGATGAGTGCCGGGACACGGGGTCCTGGGGGGGGGGCTGTGGGTGTCCCCCCACCCCACCCCAGGGACAGGCAGGGGTCTGGGACCCCTCCTCTCCGGGCCGTGACGCGGGGCCGGGGTCCTGCACACTTGGCTGTTCTCTGGTCTTTATGTTGCGGATCTCTTTATTTTATTCGCTTCCCCTTCTCCCCCTGCCTTCCCCCCGCTTCTCCAGCCCTTCTTCGTCCCTAAATTAAATTTATAGCAATATCAATTAGCAGAGCTAATCCTAGGAGATACCGGGTGGAGTTTGCGCCAGTCATTCTTTATAGCTGTACGAATAAAGACAATGTTCACGTTGAATGTCGCCGTCTCTGCCTTCCACGGCTCCGGCCCTCGGAGAGGCCGGGGCTTCCCGGGGGGCCTCTGTGGCTCTGCTGCCCCCCCCTCACTTTTCACACCGGGGTGTTTCTTTCCCTCCCTCCAACCCAAGTTCTCCTCAGTTGGTTGAACAAATTAAATAAATGAAACCCAACTTTGAGCTTTAAAAATTCGGGTGTTTTCTGCTTAAGCAATTCAGCCCCACTCCCACCCTCGGTCTGCGGCTCTGGGCACCCATGCGCCCCTGTGCTGCCCCCCCCTCCCC